CCCCCCCCCCCCCCCCCCATCAAATTCTGGATATTCAGGAAAATTACTGGAATATTAAGTCCATTAGCAAACGAGTACAACTGCATGTGAAGACCACTATAAATCAGCGGGTTTGTAGATAATATTTAGAAATTATTTGCTTTAAATATGTCAGTCCCCACTTGGCAAAACAATTACCTGATCCCAAGCTACGTATTGTGTGCTTAATACTCACTTGAATCTATAGTAGTTACATGAGCTAAATGTATCCAAGCGTCAGGCGTTTCAGGCCCCCTCTACACAGGCAGGTAAATACACAAGGGGATCTAATGCACGATTCACACAATTGTGTCTTCGCCAGACCATGCATGCAAGGCAGGAGGTGCAACTGTGGGACTGCACGCTAGATCTCATCACACCTGATCCCAGTCTCCCCCTGCACCAGCAAGGAGCAAGCTTTCATGGCTGGGAGTCCCCTTAGCTGGGAGACACTGCTGTGGTGTGTGAATTTGCTGTGGGGCATGAATACCTTGGCGCAGGTTCATGTACCCCTGGGGCTGGGAGATTGCTGCAGCAACAATCTGCCTACCCCAGGGGCTTCATGCACCCCTGGGGCTGGGGGACTGTAGCCGCGCCCTGCGGCTGGTAGGACAAAAACTGGGTCTCAGCACTGGGAGGCATGCTGTGGGGACCCAGCATCTGCAGCTGTGGGACTTGGGTCCCAGCTGCTCTGGGGTGTTGCCAGGACCCAGAGTCCACAGCTGCTGGGGCTGTGAGTCCCCAGCAGTTGCAGGACTAACAGCCCTGGTTCTCAAGGTGCACTCCTAAGCTAGGAGCCTACAGCTAAGGGCTTTCAGCCACAGGGGAGATCCTGTTAAACATGCAAATTAACCAGCTATAAAGTAAGTACACATTTTTGAGGACTAACTGAATAGCTGGTTTTTGGTGTGATAACTGCTTTGCACATATAGCTGGTCTCAAGGTAATTGTGCAATTAACCAGTTAATTACAGGATACCTGTAAGGTGTAAACGGGCCTCAAAGACTTAGCAAATATCTTTTGTCAGTACTTCCATTATCATTAACTCAAATGTTATTACTACTACCACACTTCCCCAACACTCAATGCAATGTAAGATTCTCATCCTATGGTTTTTTATTTTTATGGGGTAGAATTAAAGGTCAATTTAAAACTAAAATCTGTCCAACTTCAGTTTGATTTGTCTGGTTTTTGTATCTCAGGCAGTAGCATAACCGGAGAGGGATGAGAGGGGCACTCACCCTTGATGCTGACTTAGAGGGGGCATAAGAATTTTACCCATCCCCACCCACACCCTGGGAGCTTTGGCTATGGCAGGCATAGCCCACTGTTGCCCATCCATAGAAGCAAGGCAGCCCTTCACACTCTAGCATGCACCAGGCCCACAGCATGGGTTCCCTGGGGCTGTCCCTAGTGCCTTGCTCGTTTTCCCACACCCCTCTACGAAATGTAACAAAAATCTTGGGGAAGGGCGCTGTTCAGTTCAATCCCTCTCCCACGTACACTATAGGACGCAGGGCTGCCTGGCTTCTATGGCTGGACAGTGCTGGGCTACACCACAGCAAAGATTCCTTTGGAGGTGGAGGGGGTGGCAAGGACATTCTGGTGCCCCTGCTGAGACGGCTTCTCAGATGCAGCAACATATGTAAATGCTATTATAGCCTCAGGAGCTGCCGCTGAGTGCAGAGAGCACCAGGGAAGGTAAACCTCTTTGCCCCACACCCTCCTGTTCTGACTAGGGCACTGCAGAAGTTTGCTATGCCTCTGTTGACAAGTGTAACACTGAAGCAAAAGTCCTTTGAAATGCTTCAAAGGGTGAGTGGACAGATGCACTTGCCCTTTGAAATGTTTCAAAACTAGCCACTGAGGAAACACGAAGTTCTTCCAAGTTTCTTCTATGTCTGTGCTCTCTATGGAGCATGACAGACTCTTGCTGAGTCCTTTAGCATCCTACTGCATTCTTCTCCCTCTCCCCAGCCATGGAGGTGAACACAGCTATTCCTACTCTCCAGCACCCAGTCTCCACACCTTTTTGGGTCTGTTCTCCCAGGCTAGGGAGAGATATTCAAAAAGCTGGAGCCTGAATTTATTCAATCTTTGCAGGTTAGTCTATCCTGCAAAGATTGAACCAATTTGCAACTGAATAGACATTCACTTTTGTTTTCAGAAATGCAGACACATGCCTGCAGTGGCTCAGGCTAGAATTTGGGGGCGCTACAGCAGCCCTCCCCTCCCTTGGGCAGGAGACACTTTTCCTCCTGCTCAGGCAGTTGTGGGGGTTGGCCAGAGCCAGCTGGCGTGACCCTGCTATCTGCCTAGGGCTGGGGCTGCAGCTGCACCTGGGGGTGCAG